GTGGCTGTCAGAGGGCTCTTGCTGTATTTACTGGAGAATCTCAAAGAGAGCCACAGAGCCACATTTGTGTGAAGGACCCTGCTCTCCTCATATGGAAAGGGGCAGTCACTGAGGTCACAGAGGGGCTGAATTTTCTCAGGATTTGATTGGATTTTGTACCAGAGCTCTGACTTGGAATGTGTAGAAATGCACTTTTGGCAGAAGTGGGTACAGCAAAGAGCATCTGCTCATATGTATATGTTGAGATATGTTATGTCTTTTTGTTATTGTTGTATTAAATTATGATGTAATGCTTCCATAATACCTCATCAATCTGCAGTTGCCTTGGTGATCTGTGAGCCACATATAAGTTAGATAGCTTTTTTTATATATCTTTCTTCTGCATTGCTGAATTACACCATTGTGTATTAGTGTTCTACTTCTTGCCTCTAGTATTTATGCTTCTGTACATTGTTTTTTAAAGTTCTTAAATGTAAATATTCTGTATCTTTAAAGTGCCTGATGTTCCCGAGAGAGTAGTCATAGAAGAAATATTACCAATTTCTATTACTAAAAAAGTGAAGAAGCCACCAGCTAAAGGTACATTGGATATAGCATTAGATACAACATATAATGTTCTTTGTATGTCTGTGCTGTAAATGTGCCATGAATTCTGCCTTGCGTTTTTACTGAACATTCTTGATTTCACGTTGCTGTTACTAAACCTACACAATAATTTAAAATGTCTGAAGTACCTAGGGAGCTTACCCAAAAGAAAAGAAAACATGCTACTACTCTCCAAAAGTATAAATTCTGCAAAACAAATATGCATCCAGCTATTGGTGCATTAAAGTTTAAGTTGCTCTGCTGTCTCTGTTAACTTAAATTCATGTTTGCTTGTTGTTTTGTGAGAATGAGCAAACTTACAGAGACACCTGTAACCTTTAAAAATATACTGGTGGATCTGTAACACAGGTAACTTAACACTGCAGGAGGGCATTGATTACAAAGCCATTGCCTGAATTCCCTCTGAATGTGACATGTTGAATCTGCCTGTATGCAGCTGAATTCTCAAGATGACAAATTCCAGTGAGATTTACATGTTCCTAGGGTCTCACTGAGGTCAATGGGAGACTTTCAATTGACTTGGGTGGGCATTATATCTAGTCCTGCAAAGTACTGAGCAACTCCTGGACGTGCTGAGTGTTCTGGACTGACCCAGCTCACAAATAAGTCATTGAGATTGACATTTGGGAAGTTTATGAGGGCCCTTCATACCTACAGTAGTTCAGCACCTTGCAGGATCATGTCCAGAGGCAGGAGGCACCTTAAAAAAAGTATCTAACCTTATTGTGATGTAATTTCCTTCCCAGTCTTTTTGTTAAGAGTTCACAGAAAATGGTAGCACTAATTTTAAATTACATGACAAATGAAAATTATATTTTGAAATCTGAGCTTCCAGTAAATTAGCCACCTTTCCTTTGTCCAGCCACTATTTCTCTAAAACAAATTCAGCAGAGGCTGTAATAAAAGAAAGGACTTGGCTGAGCACAAATATTTCTGCTTGAACTAAATGCATACATCCCCAACCTAACTCTACCAGGTGGTCTGCCCATTCCTCTGTTGCATCTAGAAACTATCTGACCATACATCAACACTGCAAAAAAAACCCAACAACAACAACAACACCGCAGCAGTGAGTTTCAAAGTCTGGGTCAACTGACTTAGGTTTGTGAGGGTCAGGTTACAGCACTAAAAATACCTGTGTAGACATTCTGCTCAGGTTGGAGCCCAGGCTTTGAGACCCACTCCCATCGCTGGTTTCTGAGCCTGGGCTCCAGCCCAAGCAGGAACATCTACACTGCTATTTTAAAGCCCTGTAGTGAGAACCCATGTACGTTGACCCTAACTCTGAGACACCTTCCTATGGGTTTTGTTTGTTTGGGTTTTGCACTGTAAATATTCCTTAAAACTCCATTTCACACTTAAGCAGCCACACCCTTAGAGTTTATTGTATGTCCTGGTTCTCAGATATCAGTAAATTATTACACAGTTTGGATCTTGCTACTCTTTTGGGCATAGGCAGTACTCCTAGTGCAGGTGAATACTGGGTGAATTAGATTTCCTAAATCAAGCATTCCATAGAAACACTAACCAAGGGCTCCATTTGTCTTTTTCACATCATACTTTTTCTGAAAGTTTACAAGTGTTCTCAAGGAAACAATTTGGAAATGAAGTAGCAAATATATGTGTTGTGGGTGTCAATACTGTTTGTTGGTTATTCTTTTTTAATCATTTCATTACTTGTGAAGGTAGTATATGCAATAATAGACCAAATATACCAAATTGGTCAATTCTGTATTCTTAACATTAATATCTTTAAAGTGAGTGAAGAAGAGCCTTTCTATGTAGAGGAGGAAGTACCTGTCCCTGTTCCCAAAAAAGTGGAAGCCCCACCAGCTAAAGGTATATCATTTGTTTGCTTCCTATAACATGGAAAATGTCTTTCTTTCAATTTCAATCTATAACTTCTTACCTTGATCAGTAAAATATAGCTTAGATACTTTTAATTTTTTTAGCATTAAATGAGTACATGTGCCTGTTTGTGTCGATTGCCAGTGTATTCATATTGAGATTTGTGTGTTGCTGTTTCTTTGGTATTGAAATCATTCCAATTTTCTAAAACTACACAATATTTTTAAAGTGCTTAAGAAAAAACCACCAGAAGAATGGAAACCCCCTGTTGCTATTGAAATAGAAGAACCTCAGTTCACCAAAGGTAAACTAATGAAAATAAAATTCTCTAGACGTCTTTATCTTTTTCTTTATCTTACACATTTTGTTCGTTTATTTGTTTCAAATGTTTTTCATGTAGGTATTTTGTGTTTTAGTGACAGTAACTTCTGTCTGGATCTTCACTATGTATAGACTATCACTTGTGTCCTTTGTATTGTTTTTGTAAATTGTTCCTTCTTTTACTGTCTTATTTTTGTATTCAGTGAAATTTTATGTATATTTTCTTTCAACAAAAATCAGTCAAGATTAAAAAGATTTATTTCTAGTTGCTTATTATTAAAGTGCATTCCACATATTACAATTAACTATTCCTACATTTAATACTTTTAAAGTAACTGAAGTGCAAAGGAAAATTATCACCCAAGAAAAAGTAGCTGTCACTGAAAAGGAGGAAGCTCCACCAAAAAGAGGTACATTGACTTTTGAAGCCACGCAACAGATGTTTGTCTGTTACTAATGTCTTGTGTCCTGAACTGCCTAATTATGTTGCATAAAATATAGATTCTGGTTTATGCTTTAAGTTCCTTATTTGGCATACACAAATGTCAGGCCTCTGTGTTTGTATTTTTGTTGCCTGATTATTTTTGCCACTTGTGAGCAATTCAAAACTCCTAAAAATAAACAATATCTTTAAAGTGCCAGAAGTTCCCAAGAAAGCTGTGCCAGAAGAGAAAGTGCCCATTCCGGTCCATAAAAAAGTGGCGGCTCCACCAGCTAAAGGTACATCAGCTCTTTCTGGTGAAACAAGAGGCTTCTACATATCAGAAATCAGTGGGAACCAGCAGGCCTTGAACCTGTGAATTGTTTGATTTAAAAAAAAAAAAAAAGCTTATACTTTCTTGGTCATAAATTAAATAGAATTGTGGTTTCTGCCCTGCAAAAAAATGCAGAAAATCATGTAAAATGGTCAGACTCTTGCATTTCTTGTGCCTTCAAAACTGCTATCAATGCATAATTGTTTTGGATGTACACTAATTTTCATAAACTGAGCATCAATCATATGCAGAAGCTCATTGTCTCTTCTTAAAAAAAAAGTATCAATGTCTTTTCAGCTCATCAGCATTTTTTTTTCAAAGATGGCCTTGTGTCCTTAACGTCTGTCATTTTCTTGTGTGTTTAAAATGCTATCTTTTATGTTTTTTCTGTGTGTGAAATTTTGTAATTAAATTACATGTAATGGAAAATGCCAGCAGTGCTGAAAAATCTTACATTCAAATTCTAGAGTCCTTACTGTGTCATGTATATATGCTTTAGACATTCTTTTTTGTGTGCATATGTCTCTTTCCATTTTTCTTTTCATGCTTTTATAAATATCTTTGCTGTTACTAAAAGTGCTCAGTAATATAAAGTGAAGTGCCTAGGGAGCTTACCCAAAAGAAAAGGAAACATGCTACTACTCTCCAAAAAGTATAAATTCTGCAAGTCAAATATACATCCCACTATTGGTGCATTAACGTTTAAGTTGCTCTGTTGTCTCTGTTAACTTAAATTCTTGTTTGCTTGTTGTTTTGTGAGAATGAGCAAACTTACAGAGACACCTGTAACCTTTAAAAATATACTGGTGGATATGTAACACAGGTAACTTAACACTGCAAAGAGCAGCGAGCACAAAGCCATTGCCTGAATTCCCTCTGCACGTGACATGTTGAATCTACCTGTGTCCGGGTGAATTCTCAAGATGACAATTTCCAGTGAGATTTATGTGTTCCTAGTGTCTCACTGAGTTCAATGAGAAACTTTCAACTAGCTTCAGTGGGCATTAGATCTAGCCCTGCAAAGCACTGAGCATCTCCTAGCGGTATTGAGTGTTCAGGCCTGAGCCATCTCCCACTTAAGTCACTGACAGTGACTCCATTGACTTCAGAGGGACTTGGATCAGTCTTTGAGGGCACTTCATACCTACAGTAGCTCAGCACTTGCAGGATTGTGTCCAAAAGGAGGAGGCATCATAAAAAAGAAGCTAATGTTAGCCTGATGTGATTTTCTTCCCAATCTTTTTGTTCAGAGTTCTTAGAAAATGACAGCACTGATTTTAAAATATATGACAAATGAAAACCATGTTTTTAAATCTGAGCCAAACCTTCCAGTAAATTAGCCACTTTCCCTTCATCCACCTAATGTTTCTCTAAAACAAATTCAACAGAGATTATAATATAAGAAAGGACTTGGCTCACCACAAAAGATTACTGCTTGACATAAATGTCTATATCCCAAACACAAATCTACCAACTGGTCTCTCCATCTAAAACTCCACTTGACGCTCACACAGCCACCCCCCTGTGTTTATTGTATGTCCTGGTTCTCAGATATCAGTAAATTGCTACACAGTTTGGATCTTGCTACTCTTTTGGGGATAGGCAGTACTTCTAGTGCAGGTGAGACTGGGTGAATTAGATTTCCTAAATCAAGCATTCCATAGATACACTAACCAAGGACTAGTTCAAATATGCCAAATACATCAATTCTGTATCTTTAACATTAATATCTTTAAAGTGACTGAAGAAGAGCCTTTCCACATAGAGGAGGAAGTACCTGTCCCTGTTCCCAAAAAAGTGGAAGTCCCACCCGCTAAAGGTACATCAACTCTTAAATATCAAATGTCAGTTGTTCTGCATCTCAGTGTTTCTGATTTTGTTGTTTTTGATGTATGTCCCTATTACATGTGTGTTACAAACTTCTCTTTTGACTAACCAAGTGTTTCCTTACTGTTTTGATACCTTTCCTATTTCTTAAACTACACACTGTAATATTTTTTTAAGTGCCTGAGAAGCCTAAGAAAGTTGTCCCACCACCAAAAGTTCCTGCTGCTCCTAAAATTGAGGAAGCTCCACCAGCGAAAGGTATAAAACAGTTACTAATTAAAATGATACTTCCTTACCTTGAAAGACATGACACACGTCTTCTCTTCTCAAGTTCTTGGTTTTAGTATCTGTTAATAAAGATATGAGTTTCTTATAAATCATAGTCTGATTGTTTGCATTAGAACTGTGTGTTCTGTATATTATTGTTTTTCCTTACATAAACACTTTTGTTATTATTAAACAAAGGAAATACTGTGATGTTACATACAAAATATATTCAGAATACTAGAGACCAATATTTTTAAAACTCTTCTTTCTAAAGTGCCTGAAGTTCGTAAGAAAGCTGTTCCTGAGGAGAAAGTACCTGTCCCTGTTCCTAAAAAGGCAGAGGCCCCGCCACCCAGAGGTACATCAGTTATTTGCTTCCTATAACTTGGAAAAATGTCTTTGTTTCAATTTCAGTCTTTAACTTCTTACCTTGTTGAGTAAAATGTAGTTTATAGATGCTTTTAATTTTTTAGCATTACACATGTACATGTGCCTGTTTGTGTCCATTGCCAGTTGTATTCATAGTGAGATTTCTATGTTGCTTTTTTCTTTTAGTCTGTTTAGTATTGAAATCATTCCAATTTTCTAAAATTACACAATATTTTTAAAGTACTTAAGAAAAAACCACCAGAAGAATGGATACCTCCTGTTGCTATTGAAATAGAAGAACCTCAATTCACCAAAGGTAAACTAAT